CGCCCATGTGGTGGTGGCCATGGTTGCTGCTCAACCCAGTTCGATGAAGAAAACAGCCCCGAATGCACCACAACCACTTCACAGCTCCTCCCAAGCACTACAGGCACATCAATCAAGTTGCAATCACAAAGATTAGGGAAATCACCTCCACATGTGAGCAGCTCTGCATCTTGTAACGCCTTACTATCATGGATGATAGCAAGACCTGACCCTGGCGCCCCACAGCAGATAGCGAAGCGCCACAGACAATAGTGTGAGCATGGAGCACTCAGTAGATGGCAAGGCGGCACACTAGAAGGTAAACACTGGTGAAGGTTGGTGACAGAGCGACATTTCATCGAACACCCATGCTACATGAACGAAGTGAGCACCCGCCTTGCGCCAAGCAGTAGCCAGGACCAGCGAGGATGCTTCTTGTGGTGGAGTAGGGATTGGTGAAGCCGTTGCCGCATCCCGTGGTGGTGGTAGTAGGAAGTTGGAGTAGGAACTCGATGGTGGTACGACCACCGAGGTGGGCCTTGAGGTAGGCGGAGACGGAAGCCGGGTCGGCATCCTCCGCAGCGTCCGGGCGGGCTTCTCGTCCTCAAGCATCCAGAGACATGCGGGGCGCGCGCTGTTATGCGCCATCACGGACGCCGACTGCACGGAACAAGGCACCAGGGGGACGCCATATGAGACACCAGAACGGACGCCTCCGCCGTGCGGTCGTCATGCACTGTGCGCGCATGCGTAGCCGAGTGACCAGGGATGTGACGATGTAGTCCGGCCTGGAGACTCAGTTGATGGAGACGGCGTGCCTGATGTCGTCAGACACGGAGAGCGGTGACGGTGTGTCGGCGTTCATGTATGCGAAGGGGTCGGTGGGATACCGGCACACCGCCTCTAGCACAGCTTCGGTGAGGGCGAGGCAGACACAGAGCTAGAGCGTGGCGGGGACGGGGACGGGGGCATCGCCGCTGAGCACCTCCTCCCCATCGAACTCCGTTGGGGTGAGCTCATCGCACGCGGAGGAGTACTTGGTCGCCTCGGCATCGACGGCGGGCTGCTCTAGGCAGGTGAGGTCAGACTCGAGCTTGGGGCCGAGGCATGACAACTTGGAGCCATGGGGAAGTGCGATGACGAGCTCCTGGTCAGTGTCGAGCGGTGCGTCGGGTTCGGTGGAGGTGACAAGCGCATCGACGGGGACGGCGCCCGAGTCGTCGTTGCTGGAGGAGGGAGCGCGTCAGCGTGCGGGCTGCTGTAGCCTGGCGAAGAGCCGGTCCAAACGAGCATCGGCCTTGTCGAACCCCCTATGGATCTCGTCGACGAGGAACTGGGTAGAAGGAGAGATCTGGGTAGGGGGATTCATGGCGCTAGGGTTCCAGGAATCAATGGCTCCGGTACTAATTGTTAGCAACCCCAAGTATATTGGTTCACAGTTAACTTGATTCACTGCTAATCAGGGTACAAGACCTCAAGGGGAGGGAGGTTGGAGCAGAGAATGAAGGGGAACCGGGTACAGAGAGATAGAGGCTTGAGGAAGAAGATGAGCAGTCTCAGAGGGAGGAGCAAGAGGAACAGTAGGTAGAAGATGGTTTCTTCTGATTATTGTTCGATCCTTTTCCAGTTGAGCTTTTGTAGATGACGTCCATAGGTCCAGGCAATACTCAACTAGGACCAGGCCCATATGGCGGCCCAACCAAGGGTGATACCTGACACTTCCACCCCGAAGACTTCCTTTAACATACCGCACACCAACTTAGGCCACGTTTAGTTCCACCAAATTTCCAACTTTGACACTATGCAAAAAGAAGATTTCCCGTCACATCAAACTTGCGGTACATACATGGAGTACTAAATGTTGATGAAATCAAAAACTAATTGCACAGTTTGGTTGTACTTTACGAGACGAACGTTTTGAGCCTAATTAGCCAACGATTGGACAAGTATTACCAAACAAAAACAAAACGGCACTGTAGCTAGATGACATTGAAAGAAAAGACGATCAATAGATTACCTAAGTACAAAGACAACCGTTAAAATCCCGTTCCAACCCTTTTTTATAAGAACACTAGTCAGCTGCAATTTGTTGTTAAAAATACTTTTCCAGATCAAGCCAGCAACCTTGCTGGATACACCCCTATCTGTCAAAAAGTTGTAAAGAGACTTTGTAGAGAATTGATTTTTTCTCTTCCAGAGCCCAGCTTACTGTGTCAATGGCTTCTTGCTGAAGAGTGAAGCTATGTAGAGAACCTACTAGTTCCTGCCAAAGCCAACTGTTAAGCCCTTGTTTAGTTTGCAAAAAGTTTTCTCAAAAAGTGCTACAGTACCCGTCACATCGAATCTTGCGGTACGTGCATGGAGCATTAAATGTAGACGAAAATAAAAACTAATTGCACAGTTTTGTTGGAAATTGCGAGACGAACGTTTTGAGTCTAATTAGTCCATGATTGAACACTAATTACCAAATAAAAACGAAATTGCTACAGTAGCCAAATTTCGCACTTTTCGCGAACTAAACGCGCGCTAAACTCATCTACAGAGAGGGTTCTGTTTGGATTGGGGCATCGCTTGATCCAAGAATCAGCTTGTCCATCATGGAATGGCGTTTTTTTGAGGAATGAGCCAGTCCGTCAAAATAGGCTAGTAGGGAAGGTTACGAAGCAAGAGTTGATGACGGATAGATTCAAGTCATGATGCAAACCAAACACATATTCCAGCTCTGGATATAGGTGAGGATGATTCCGGAGCACTACGTCCGTCAATCCAAACAGACCGTTAAAGTCCATACATAACCCAAGACTCATCCTCCCAACACTCAAACACAGAGCCGTGAGGATTTCTAACCAATTTGTGTTGTGCTATTTTTAGAGCCGTTAGTTTCAGTAGCCCTAATTCAACGGCTGGGGAGAAGGTAAGTGAGGCATTACGGTGACTGGTCACCACTGGAGAGAAGGGAAATGAGGCATTTGGGTGACTCGTCGTAAGAGATCATGAAGAGGTTGAATAAACGTCATCGGGTGTTGGATACTTGGATTGGACGACGTCACTTGAAATTTGCTTAGTACTAAGAAATAGTTATAGTACATGATGTATAGCAACACTCTTGGTTCTCTGTGTGATTGCCAAGGGGTTTTGGTCAAAAGCTAAGTGCAGTGGGTCCTACAAAATGTTGAATAACCTTGCATCTGTCTGGATCTGATCAAGATGCTTACGTAGGAATCTGATGCAAGACCAATTGTCATTATTGCTTAATTAAACATCCTGCACATGGTGGCAAGTCATAAACTAAACTAGAGATGAGGACTTAGGAATGTCGAAACTGTAGGATCATAGATCTAGCCATAGATGTGTCCTATTCGGTTTAAAAGGTGATGCAGTAGATCCTAATACATGTAGAACGAACTAGAGAGAGACAGGGAGATGGTGCTGAACCTGACACCGAGGAGGGGGAGGGTTCGGTGGCCGCCATCGGGTTCGTTGGTGATGTCTGCGCACGGGCAGCGACGGTCGATGAAGATCGGTCGGAGATGCGGTGCCGGAGGTGAAGATCGACGGCGGCGCAGTGCAGCGGTGGAGGCACTTCCCGTCACTGGCTGCGCCCCTCACTTAGATCGGGTTTAGGGTTTGTCGGTGGGGAGGTCGGCTCAGGTCAACCTCGTGATAAGAACCGCCGGCCCCCATATCTTTTTATAGTGCAGGGTGACAGGGGCCCTCCAGCCATGGTGAGCTGGACGCCCCCGATCAGGGCGCGAATCAAAGGCCCAACTGGACCGTTGGGTCCAGTTAGATTAGAGATCAATCTAACAAGGAAGCCTGTCGATTTCAAGCGTTTGAAAAAAAAAGAAAAATTGTAAAAACAATAGAAGAAACATTAACGTGAGGAAGACCGAAGCTGGTAATGAAAAGAGATTTAAAGGGTTGAGATATACCTAGAGATCTTTGTTTGGATATAAGTGTTTGAAAAACAGATATTGATGTGACTGAACCGTGACTAGGAGCTCATATTGACAACTCTAGTCTACCCCCGACTTGCTTGGACTAAGATACATTTGCAACAACGCCAACCATCTGCTCTCGTGATCTGTCACTCACATTCGCCGGTGGCGGGCCAATGGCAGCACTTCCCCTTGCCATACGCGCCATCACGTATTCTTGATCTGCCTTCTTCTCCTGTCTTCGTCGTCTTCGTCATCGATTTGCGTCTCGAGGACGCAGGACCATGTGAGAACGGCGTTCCACTTCCAGCCCGCCAAGAACTGGCAGAACGGTAACTTTTCAAATACCCTTGTTTTATGAAATTAGTCCAGATCGATCGATGTCAGTGAACTCTCTCTTAATACGGCTGTGGAACCTCTCCTCTGGATGGAAATTCATGGCGGTCACGACGCGAGCTTACAGATCCGAATGGTGCGTGTTCTTGTTCTCGTGCTCGGTCTGTTCTTGACTTGTTTCCTCAGCTCGCTCCGTGGTCGCTAAGGCCTCGTTGACCAACAGGGCCCGTGTACTCCAACGGCATGTACCACCTGTTCTACCAGTACAACCCGCACGGCGCGCTCTGGGACGTCGGCAACCTCTCCTAGGGCCACTCCGTCTCCGGCGACCTCGTGAACTGGGCGGCCCTCGGCAACGCGCTCGACCCGACGGCGCCGTTCGACGCCAACGGCTGCGCGTCAGGGTCTGTCACCATCCTTCCGGACGGCACGCCGGTGATCCTCTACTCCGGCATCGACGCGGACCGCCGGTAGGTCCAGAACGTCGCGTTCCCCAAGAACCCGCGCGATCCGCTCCTCCGCGAGTGGGCCAAGCCCGCCTACAACCCCGTCGTCACGCTCCCCGTCGACGTGTCGGCGAACGACTTCCGGGACCCCACCACGGCGTGGCTGGGCCGGGACGGGCTGTGGCGGTTCGCCATCTCCGCGGTGGCCGACGGCGTGGGCAGCACGCTCGTGTACCGCAGAGCGGACTTCCTGCGGTGAGAGCGGCGCGCCGCGCCGCTGCACGCGTCGCGGGACGCCGTGATGGCCGAGTGCCCGGACCTGTTCCCCGTGGCGGCGCGCGGCGCGGAGGAGGGGCTGGACACGTCGGCGAGCGGTGCGGGCGTGCGGCACGTCCTCAAGGTGAGCATGCCGGACACGCTGGAGGACTACTACGCGGTCGGGACGTACGACGACGCGGCGGACACGTTCACGCCGGACGAGGACGGCGACTACCGGAGCTGGCGGAGGATCGACCGCGGGCACCTGTACGCGTCCAAGACGTTCTTCGACGCGCGCAGGAGCCGGCGGGTGCTGTGGGCGTGGGTTAACGAGTCCGACAGCGACGCCGACGACGTCGCCCGGGGCTGGTCCGGGCTCCAGTCGTTCCAGCGGGCGCTGTGGCTGGACGGCGGCGGGAAGCAGCTGGTGCAGTGGCCCGTGGAGGAGATCGAGACGCTGAGGACGAGGCGCGCGGCGCCGCTGCAGGGCGAGGGCGCGGAGGTGGAGCCCGCCGGCGGGCTGCGCGAGGTTACCGGCATCGTGAGCTCGCAGGCGGACGTGGACGTCGTGTTCGAGATCCCGAGCCTCAGGCGGGCCGAGGGCCTCGACCCCAGCCGGCTGGCTGACCCCGACGCGCTGTGCCGGGAGAAGGGTGCCTCCGTGCAAGGCGGCGTCGGCCCGTTCGGGCTGCTGGTGATGGCTTCCGGCGACCTGCGCGAGCACACCGCCGTGTTCTTCAAGGTGTTCAGGCTCCTGCACGAATACACTGTTCTCATGTGCACGGACCTCAGCAGGTACAGAAACTGAGCAATCCTTTTTGCCTGAACATGACATGGCAATGAATCTGCCAATCTGTGAACCTCAAATGTGTGTAGGTCCTCCACGAAGGCAGGCGTGTACAGGCCAACGCATGGAGGGTTCGTCAGCGTGGACATCGAGAAAGACATGAGCATATCGTTAAGAACATTGGTAAGCTTACTGATACTTGGCACTGTTGGATGCTTCTTATAATCTTACGGTGACACGAATACCTCAAATATGCATGACTCATGATGTGTGTGATGCTCGTGCTACGTACAGATCGATCACTCGATCGTGGAGAGCTTCGGCGGTGGAGGGAGGACGTGCGTGACGGCCAGAGTGTACCCCGAGCACGTTGCAACAGGCAGCAGCCACCTGTACGTGTTCAGCAATGGATCGGATGCAGTGAAGGTGTCCAAGCTCGAGCCCTGGGAGCTTGCCAGTGCGAGTGTCAACGTTGACGACGATGATGGTCTGGTTGGATCATCAGTGAATATGTGCCGCAGCGAGGAGTATTAGCACTTAGCAGTCGCTGTTTTACATTTTTTTTAGCAAAAAAAAAGGGCGCTGTTTTACACGCAGGACATATAAAATCACATCATGTTGTGGGTCTGTTCGCTGGTTGATTTCTGGGCTGATAAGCCCGGCTGATACTGAGTTTGTTGTGAGAGAAAAACATTGTTGGCTGACTAATAAGCTCTGGCTGAAATCAACAAGCCAACATGCTGAATACTGTGGCTGATTAACATCCTTGGTCCCTAATATATTTTAGTCTGCGTGGGCAGAATTCAATCGGGCCGACGATTGTTGTTTTTCTCCGCAGCCTCGTAGCGCCAGCGTCGTAAATATTACTGCACGCCCACATGTTCGCCGCGCTACAACGACAGAGGCACGCGTATAGCTTCATGTTATGTTCAGATATTTGTGCAGTTGTCCAATTTGTGCTCCATAGTATGCTCTTTTCAAATGGCACCAAGACAAAAAAAAGGAATTTTTTATAGAAAAATAAATAAAGAAGGGACAAACCAAACATAGCATCAGTTTTGACGTCATCTATGTCTATGTTTTGAACAAGTCACGAGTGTCTTTTTCTCGAATACGCAAAAATTTGCATATTTTTTTACATTAGGTAGAACATGCAAACATCACGCTTCAATCGAGCATCCTAGAGGTCTAGAAGGAGCAACGTAAGACCGGACTGTGTACTGATACAAGTTACTGTATTACTCACAAGCTAAACAACCAAGAGACAGGCAGCGCTTCGACTCAAGAAATGGTCTTCCGTCGAACAGTCACTAGTGTCTTATAACATGGAAGTGCAAAATCGCCCCTGTCACCAAACGAAACAAAAAACAAAAACCTCAATACACTCCTGTTATCATTTATCAACAACAAAAGTTCAAAAGCTTGGTGTCAATCAAATTTTAGTGTTGGGCTTCGATCTCCTGCTTGCTCATGAAAATCGTCGTGAACGGCTCACCAGGCCATGGCGGGTTCTGTCAATAATGACACATATACGGAGTACTTGGCAGGTTCAACACCAGCAGCTTCGTCAGACACCCGCAACACCTCCACGCGCTATAGGCCCAATTGCCTGCCTTCTGATCACCTCCTAGTCCAGATGGAGGCCCATCAGATTACAGAGAACATTCAGCAGCCACCACCTCTTCCATCCATGCATTTTCCTTTGTAAGCCTCATGATAGCAGCATGCATTTGCGGTTTGAAAGACAAGGTTTGCATTATCCATACCATCACCAGCATCAGCAGACAGCAGGTGCAAACAAGGTGTAGTATCATCAGATGAGTATGTTTCAATGGCCTGTCGACTTCCCGTGAGACGCCTGGTAGGACGAGTAGTCAAGAACCAAGTCGATGGAGCATTGAGATCGAAATCTGAATCCAGCAACAGGTTACTGAAACTTCATTTATTTATTTATTTATTTAATCTCTGACGAATTAAACGGCATCGATCGGCGATTTGCCTCCGAAAAAAATGAAGTACCAACAGCATTGGCCACTCAACGCACCAATACAATCGAGCAACAACGGCGATGTATGTATGTAGTATGTATGTATGTAGCAACAACGGCTATGTATATGTATGTATGTATGTATCGTGTCCAGGGCATGCAGACGACGGCTGCACAATGCAGATGGACTGGACCTAGTGGTAGTGCAGCCTACTGGTCCATGGAGAGATGGAGTAGCAGCAGTTCTTGAACGTATCCATGTGGCGGCTGAAGAGCGGCACGTAGGCGTCGACGCTGCCATCCCCGGCGAAGGACGGGAGGAGGATGAGCAGGCCCTCCACCGGCAGGTAGCTGGGCATGAAGAAGAAGGGCCGGCCGCCGCCGAAGTCGAGGTCGTAGAACGGGATCCGCAGCCAGCTGTCGACCTCGATGTCGGGGCTGAGCACCATCTCCGCGGCGTCCGCGGCCGCCACCAGCTCCTCCTCCACGGCGCCGGAGCTGGCGAAGTCGACGAACGACTTGAAGTAGGCGTCGTTGATCCGGGCCACCTCCCGGTGGATGAGCGCCACGGCGTGCCGCAGCAGCCCCGCCACCAGTTCCCCGGCCCGCGCGGTGGGGCGCGCCCACAGCACCACGTTGCCCGTGTAGCCGTCCGGGCTCATGCCCGTCCACGGCGATGCACACGCTGGTGCGCTGGGACTCGTCCAGCCCGCGCGCCGCCGTCATGCACCGCCAAAGGTGCGCCACCACGCACTGCAGCGTGCTGTACGGCCGCGGAGCTCCCGCCGACGCCGCGGACTTGAGCTTGGAGATGAACTCCCGGCTGAAGTGCACCTTCTGCACGACCACCTCGTCGTCGACACCGCCGCCGCTCTCCGCATTCTCCTGACGATGCTTCTCGCACGACGGTTTGAACTCGACGCCGCGGTGCTCGAACTCCACCCGCGGCGGGTGGCGCGGCGCGAACAGGAACTCGCGGTCGTGCACGGGGCCGGGTCCAGCGCCGCGCCGCGGGTGGCCTGGCTCCACGCGAGGAAGAAGTTGCCGGTGGCGCGCCCGTCCGCGACGATGTGCTGCGTGGTGAACCCCACGACGAGGGACCCGCACGCGAAGCGCGTGACCTGGATGAGCATGAGCTCCGCCGCGCCGTCGCCATCAGCGCTGGGGTGCAGGCTCAGCACCTCGGCCGTGGGCTCGAGCGGCATGACGGTGTCGAGGGCGACGTCGGCCGTGGCCTCCACGAACCGCGCGCCTTCGTCGGTGAGCAGGATGGCGCGGTTGCCGCTGGCGTCCGTGCCCAGCCGCCCCGCCCACTCACGGTATTCCGCCAGCACCTTGGGGAGCCCGGCCTCCAGGGCGGCGTTGGGCGGCGCCGGCGGGCGGAACGCGTAGATGATGGAGATGTACGTGTCGAAGTTGGCCTTGTCGAACACCGTTAGCGGCACGGTGGCCGCGGTGGTGGTCGGAGGCACTACGGCGCCGCCTTCGTAGGCGGGCTTCACGGCCTTGGACTAGGGCACGGTGATCTTCATCTCGATCGCTCAGCTGAGAACCAATGGTCTGGTGCGGCCAATGAGCTAGGATCCAGTGCAAATATATAGAGCGACGCTTGGATTGCATGAGAGTGAGCCTGAGAGGCTGAGAGGCAGTAGGTGGTGAGACTTGGGGCCCGTTTGTTTCCACTTCTCTTGGCCACGCTTGAATTATAATTTAAGCGAAGATTTTCTCGCTTCTCGCTTTTTGCTTCTCATAGTTCAAATATCTGAAGCGGCTTACCACATAAGCGAGAATCGGTGGAAATAAGCGAAGCGTTTGGCGGGATTCTCGCTTATTTCCACCGACAAGCCGCTTATAAGCGAAACAAACGGGGCCTTGAAGAGAAGTCAAAAAGCCTGAAGGGTGGTAGTATAGTGTAGTGCATGGCATTGGCATGAGAAGACATTGTCCAGGTCAAAACGACGCTTGAGAGGACCACCAAGCAAGGAGATGGACGCAACAACACTGCCCATGTAAGTGCGTGTTTAGTTCCCAAAATTTCTCAAAAATTACTATAGCCATGAAGTTCCCCAAAAAGTGTGCACTGTAACTTTTCATGGGACATTTAGTTACCAAAATATAAAAAAGAATTGTACATCATTTAATGGACTGCATGCAGCTTATTAATTGCATGCAAGTCAAGCAGGCTTTTACATCAACCAGCCATTCTCAACATTAACAACTATTTTATTAAAAGCCAATCAACAATTAGAATGAACGACCACATCGGATGTATTCGGTACTGTACCAGCAAGCTTCTCGGCCTAACTCGTTATAAATACATCAAGATAGGAGTTCATGCATCCGTCCTGGCGCCTCCTTCTCATCGGCATAGCAAACAACACGTATGTTCAGGAAACCAACAATTATTGTGAAACAAATCAAATGCCCAATATTCACCCAGCAATGGTTCTCGGACAAAAAAAATACAGTTACACAGTCGCCTCAAACAGACGACCAAATCATGTTCGGTTAGCCAAACCGATTACGATGGATTCCCGAAATGCATTCATCAGCTCAGAATCAGAACTACCGCTTGGAGGAATAGTTTCCGGCTGATCGGCATAGGCTTCTGCCGGCACATAGTTTTCATCCCGGTCACACCAAGCAAAGTGCCTATCCCCTATGCCACTCACCCTTATGAAGTTATGCAGGGCACAACATGCAACAATGATTTGACTTTGTATATGGGGGGCATAACTAGGGACTTCTTTCATCATCCGCCACTTCATTTTCAACACTCCAAATAACCTTTCTATGACATTTCTAAGTGAAGAATGTGCATAATTGAAGATCTCAGTTTTATCTTGGGGTTCTGGTGCCTCTCGGTACTCCTGCAGGTGGTACTTTGTTCCCTTATACGATGCAAAATAACCTGGTCGATTAACCGTACCCCGAGTCCACAAGGTAATATTTGCCTACACTATCCAAACAATAGTTAGTGTCATGAACTTCAACTAGTATGCACAAAAGTAGAACCAACTAATTGTATACCTGTTGGTGGATGTGGAAACACGTTGGTGTATGTTGTTGTCGTATCATTGAAGACCCTCATGTCATGCACTGAACCCGGCCAGCCAGCTAGGACGAATGTAAATCGCATGTCGAAGTCACACACAGCCAAGACATTATGTGTTGTCATCCCCTTGCGGCACAGGTGTTGCACAAACTTATCACTAGGCACCACACAGGGGACATGAGTCCCATCTATAGCCCCTATACAGTCCTTGAAGTAGGGATAGATCCTAGGATTTCTTAGCCTATCATGCATAGTGCTAAAATTTGGGTCATTAGGCCTAATGATGTCAGCAGCAAGCTTGACAACAGACTTCAACACCCTATGAAACATGCTATGAACAGTCCCCAGTGACCTCTCAAACCTGTCCTCTGCTTGCCTAACAGATTGTGGAGCCCCCACCATCCATAGAAACATCCTAAGAGCCACAATAGATGCTGATTTGCTACTAGATTTCAGCCCATATGATTCTACCAAAAGATCATGCAGCCTAAG